GTACGAATACAAAATGAAGCAACCATTTAACATGGAGGGATATGCAGTACATCGTCTTCCTGACAGCCCGATCTGCCAATCTGATTGCAGATGATTGGGTGGTCAATGGCGTGGGTAGGAAAGGTAGGAGGAGTCTATTTTAATTTCGTAAAATTTGATTGTTTGTTTTTTAATTCTTGATATATTTTAAATCAAATCTTATTGGTTCTCGTCTAGTGAGTCACCATTACGGTTACGGATTGATGGATGGTACAGCCATGGTTGAGGTGGCACGCAATTGGACGCCCCTGTCTGAACACCACAGATGCGCCACCCAATCATCTTCTCAGCTTGTCAAGTTTGAGGATTTGTTTATTTGTTGCAGTTGGTGATCAGTATTGTTATGTTAGTGCTAGAGAGGAAGATTTTAAATGAACTAATTAATCAATTATTACGGAAGCAAACCGGACGAGAAAAATGATGATTTTAAAAGATTTACATGAGAGCCAAGTGAGGATTAACGATTTAAAAAATTATTTAAAAAAATTTGTCTCTGCAGCATGAGAAAAATATTGATTTAAAATTAATTTTAATCAGATAGGAAAATCGTAAAACTGATAAGGAGATAAAATTTATTAGAATTTTAATTGAGTTTACTTAGAAATTCGATAAGCCACAAGTAAGGAATTTTGAGGCAAGTGAAATCGCATATAGACTCAACTATAGATTGTTTAAAATGAATAAAGATCTTCAAATGAAGTGAAATCACAAGCTGCAAGCAATGACAAACTTCGAAACCACCAACAAAAACACCAACAACCTACGCACAACAACAGCCTAACAATACCATCTGGGCAATCGGAATCTTCGGTCATCATCAGCAACGGATGTCAGGGCACGGATGACGCCGTACAGTACCTGGAACACGTTGAGTGCATCGTCACTCTTAGAGCCAACAAGAGGGGAGAGGTCCAACTTTTTCTCGTGTCTCCATCCGGCACTAAATCGCAGTTACTCCCAAAGTGAGGTTTCTTCATTCGTACACACATATACGTACACACATACAATGTGTACACGTACGTATGTGTGTTCCGTTGTTTGCTTCAATTGGAGGACTGTTTTTTTTTATTTGTATTTTTTTTAACTTTTTGATTTAATTTAACTTTTGAAATCTGTGACAGGCGGGAGGCGGACTCGTCCCACGAGGGCTTCAGGAACTGGTCCTTCATGACGACCCACAACTGGGCCGAGAACCCGAACGGAAGTTGGACACTCATCGTCACCAACAAAGAGACCAGCTGTTAGTCTCTTAACTTAATCTTACATCTGCCCCAACACACACACAGACACACACACACACACACACACTCTTTCATTATTCTCTCTCCTTTTCTCACTTTCTCACTCCCTCTCACTTTCTCACTCATCTCTTTCTCTCTCTCATCTCTCTCTCTCTCTCTCTCTCTCTCTTTCTCTCTCACGCAACACAGCAAACCTAAGGGAGTGGAGTCTCGTCTTGTACGGCGTTGACAGGGAGCCAGAGATCTACAAACGCTACCTGCCAAGTAGCACAGCGGCCAAACTGGAAGTGGTTGTGAACGCAAAAGCAGACGACAACAAAAATTCAAACGATGCCGGAAGCAGGTTCCAAGATGGTGTGAAGCAGTTTGTCGGCCAAAATTCCGGCGCTAACAATCTCACGAATATCAAATCCATTGAAACTAGTGAGCTAACATATTCTATGCTTCTTCTTCTTCTTCTTCTCGTCTATCTACAATTGCCACTGCTTTCTTAAAATAATATGATTTCTAAGAAACTTTTTCATTAATTTATTTATGTAGTTAATAATTTAATACTAATTATATAATTAAATTAATTTAGTTCTCTATTTTTTTTTTAACATTTTTTTTTCAAATTGAATTTAGCTTTTTTTTAATGAATTTATATGCATATTTCATGGTCATTTTATCTAATTTATAGTTATACAAACAACAGCAACATCGAATACACACACGTATATATGTGTACACACACGCGCGCGCACACACACGCACACACATATATATATATATATATATATTGTATTTATAATTCTTATACAAGTGACCTTATTGATTTTTTTGTTTGTTTTATATATTGACTGTCTTTGTATATTTATTTGCGTTGTATGTGTATGAGTTGTTGTATATGTGTATGAATTGTTTTATGTGTGTATGAATTGTTTATAAGCAAACTCAACAAACATTAGAGTTCAACATTCCAAACAGTTTGAATTATGGATGTGTGTGTGTACTTGTACGTGAGTGTGTTTGTACGTGTGAGAGTGTGTGTTTGTGTGTGAGTGTGTGTGAATACGCATTCTTCTTGTTGATATTCAGACTTTTTACATTTGGTCCTTCATGTGATATACATACGCTTATTATTATGTTTGTATATACACTCGGTACCTTTACACGTAAACACACATGTGTTTTATATTTATATATATTTCTTTATATATAACTATGTATATATATATATATATATATATATATATATATATATATATATAATTTTTTATTGTGTTGAAATAGGGATGGCAAAAGATGCAGGTAATGTTTGTAGTAGGAATGGTTGATGTAGTAGAATGCTTTATTTTAACTAAATATATAACAATGAGAGTATAGTACATTTGAATGGTTTTGTGATAACATTTTAACTCTATTTTTTGTCATATATATAACTTATTATTTCGTATTTATTTATTTATTTATATATATATGCATGATTCTGGTTTTTTTTATGGTATATTTTGGGTAACCTTGTTTAGTTATTTTAGTTCGATTTATTTATTTATTATTAATTTTTATTAATATTTGCATGTCTTAATGGTGATACTGTTGTTGATATGATTTTACGTTTTGTTTTTTCATTTTTATTTCTTCTTCGTTGATTAGTTTTTATATAACTAACATGATTTTCATCAATTGATGTCTATAAAATGCTATCTAATTCATCAACACGCGTGTGTGTGTGTGTGTGTGTGTACGTGTGTGTGTGTGTGTGTGTGTGTGTGTGTGTGTGTGTGTGTGTGTGTGTGTGTGTGTACGTGTAAATGTGTGTGAAACGTCGTTCCAGTTTGTTACAGATTCTCTTACAGATTTTAGTTTGCTGTTCATTTTTGTTCATATATGCTTTTTCATGATTTTTTCAATTGTAAAAACTGTTGTTATGAGTTGTTTTTTTTTAAATGTAAATTGTAAGTAATTTAACTCTATAAACTGAAAAGAGTTTCTACTAAGTGCGTTAAAGACCGTCACCATATTACACTTTAAATTTTTTTGTCTTAATACATTCGTTGTTTCTTTTTTTCTTATTTTCACTTCAAACCTTCAAATAAAGTTGGATAAAAAAAACAAACCAGTCTAGTAGTTTATAACATTTCTACTACTACCTATCAGCAAACTTTTACAAACCAAACTCAAATCGTTATTAATACATTAGATTAAATATAAAACTGACTGATGATGAATAACGAAAATTATTTCCTCTCACACGCTCACAGAAGCTACATCGACGAACAAAACATGTGCCAAGGACCTCTACCTTCTGAAGGACGCGTGTCTCTCGCAATGTCCTCAAGGGTATTTTCCATCTGAAAATGGTATGTAGTTTTTTCTAGGGTTAAATGTCACTAATTTGCCACTATTTAAGTTTCTCTTGTTAATCTTTGATTCTGTATTCATTTCGAAATGTTTTTGTTAATTTTAGTAAATTTAATTTCAAAACGCACCTAATCATAACTGTAAACAAACATATTGACGTAATTTTTTTTTTTCATTACCGAAGATCATAAATGCTTGCCTTGCAGTTGGGAGTGCAAAATCTGCCGGAACGCAGATGGATGCACGGTCAGTATGGAAGCAAGTGACCAAACAAAATGGAAGTCAGCAACTTTTGTGGTCATCGTCCTACTGGCCATCATCCTCTCAGCCTCCTTGATTCTGCTCTTCGTATTCATAACACGTAGACGTAAGAATTTGAGTTCCTTGCAGGACTCGCTTTTCAGCGGCGAGAATGACAAAAATAACCACAATCGTCTGATCTTCCATGGCGATCCTCTTAAAAATTCAGAAATTCACGTTTCCAGCTTGGAATGCTCCGATAGAAATTCTGCAAGAGCCCCGCTGTTAAACAACGAAGAATCGTGCAGTGATGACGAGATAGACCTTCTCACTGCTAATGATATCAACCGTAACTATCAGCGCTTCGATAGTAATAACATTCAGTCAAATACGTTTTCATTACCATGAATGATGTCTTGACATTTAGCATCTGGTATCTTGATCTTGATGTATTGAAATGATGATATATTGATGTTAAATTTTAGTTCCGAAACGTAAAAAGTTATATTTTGTCACTTTACATAACGTTTAGAAATTCTTCTTTCGATTGAGTTACCAGTTCTTCATTGTTATTTATTATTCAAATTTAATTGAATTTAACTTAAATTAATTATATCATCTTAGCAAATTGTTTAATTTGAAAATGATAGCATGTGACTGTGTTCATCTGTCCTAGCTAATCTCGTAAAAATTGTAACGCAAGCCTTGTCCACTTCAAACAAGAACCATACATTAGTCAAGCCATTCATCTTGTCTTAGCCGACGATCTTGCAGACAAATAATTATAATTATTAATTATTCCCATAATAATTATTAATTATAATTATTCCCATTATAATTATTATTGTTATTATTAAATTAATTCCTAATGGCATATTAAGTCCGAAAACATTCTCACCACTTATTTCTTCAAGCATTCTTCATTGTATTAGGAATGAGTTAGTCGTTAATTAAGTCATGACTGATTGATTGGTTGATTGATTGGTTGTTGTGATTGGTTGGTTGTTGTGATTGGTTGTTGTGACGTTTTGTTTATGTCAATCTGTATTCTTATTGGAGGATCAACATTATATATATACATACACTTATGTATACAAACAGTTACACACACATACAGTTACAGACATACAGTTACACACACATACATACACACACATATATCCATACATAACCATATTTTGAGTGTGAACATATAGACACATGCTTAGTGTTACGTACACACATGCAAAGCGACATGACGTAAGAACAATATTTAACGAATATTATCAATTAAGAATTTTATAACAATAATTTTTAATAATATTGTAATTATTATTAAATTATTATTCCATACGTAATATATATTCAATGAAATTTACTTGTTCATCCTGTTGTTGTATTCACTCTGATCATTGTTTTTTACTATAACGTATTTTATTCCAAGAACAATATATATATATATATACATACATACATAATATATGACATAAGATAATGTATGGATCAAATACAGGCACACACACGCACACACATACATACATACCTACACACGCATATGTATATGTATGTATATATACATACAAGTGTGTGCGACAAATGACATTTATCAACCATCATTCTTTATATAAATACGAATCTACTTTTACAATAGATATAGATCACTATTTTTGTGCATTGTAACAATTATTTTCAATTGTTTAGTTTTAATTAAAGTTGCGCTATACAAATATATATATATATATATTGATTGTTATTTGCGCTATACAAATATATATATATATATATTGATGATGTGATGTTAAAATCATATATATATATATATATATATATATACACATACCTTAGTTATATTGTATATATATATATATATATTAGGTTATTTCTAAGTATATACTTTGTGCAATACAAAATACAGCACACAAATATATATATATATATATATATATATATATAGAGAGAGAGAGAGAGAGAGACGTATATTTTCGATTTGCACCAATATATTTTAAATAAACTTTGTTATACATCGTTGTTGTGTTCGTTTTTTTTAATTCTGTAAACCTAATTGCGAATCGACACACACACACAAACACATTTCATATAATATATATATAAACACATAATTTTAAGCGATTAATTTATCGTTATATAGTAATATTAAAACTATGTCGGCACATTGCACTTATAAAAGATGATCAATTGATCTACGCTAGTTTAGTTTTTTAACTTTTTTGAAACAAAAACCAGTGAAATGTAATTAATTAATTAATTAATTAACCATCCTTTCAATTACTTAATTAACCAACTAATTATCCAATTGCTTCTTAATTAATTAACTAATTAAGTGATATTGAGGAAAAAAGAATCAAGCATTACCTCAAAAAGTTCACAATAAATTAACTTCATTTAATTTATGGCTACCAAGACTGGAAAAAGCAGGAAAAATTGTGTGGTTATTTTTTAGTGAAGAAATTTCCAATAGTGGCTTGTTTCTTATTTGTGGCTGCCGTCGCCAGCGTCTTCTTTTTAGTGGCCTGCTGTGGCTGTTTCTTACTAGTGCCATTGCTACCGCGCCCACTGTCTGAATTCTAGGAAGTGTTTTAACTATAGTTAAATTATAAGATCATTAGTGTTGTTGTAATTGGGATTAGAGGATTGTTAAGATGTTTGGTCTCTACATAAAATCACATTAAAAGCATTAGTAATGGCTAAATTATTTTAAACACAAATAGAAAGATCCAAACTTTTTAGATTTTAAATTGTTTGACTATGAATTTGATTTAGTGAGGAGTATATTTCTGAATATCTACTATAGAAAAGTGCATTGAATTAAACTAAAATTTGAAAATATTCACACCAAACAAATTTAGAAACAATCGAATGAACCAGTGCCATTTTAACCTTCTTAACTTCAGTTTTAAGTTCATCAATTTTAGTTGCATGCAGATTATTTCCATTAGTTTTATGGCTACTATTGTTTGTAATTGTAATTTCCTTTTCATCGTTTTTTCGGCTACCATCTTCATCATCATCAGCAACAGCAGCAGCAGCAACGACGACATCCACACTCTGATGAACCTTCTCAGTAACCATGAAGCCATCATCATCTAGATAGGTGTTTGTCTCTAAAACTTTTTTCTTCTTCACAGCTTGGCTGACTGAGTTGTTGTTGTTGTTGCAGTTGTTGTTACTTGGTTTTCTTTTAGTTTCATGTTTTTCATCGGTGTCTGACTGAGAATCTGGAGATAGTTTTCTCTTGTTTGACGAAGTTGATGATGCTTGTGACCTCTGATGTGATGAAGACTGCATGTTTGAAGTTTCCTGACAGGGTTCATCATCGAACATGTCCTGGGATTCGTTGTAAGGATTTGTTTGCATCACTTCTTCTTCATCATCATCTTCACTGATTCTATGTTCATCCTCACTGTCATCGCTGTCATCATCTTCGTCACTACTGTCCGCAATTATTCTCCTTCTTCGTTTTGCTGGATGGCTGTTTTTAGACTTTTTGGACTTTTTGCCATTATCTATCTTAATGTTTGATTTATTTTTAGCATTCTTATTAACTTCTTCAACTTTGGTTTGAGATGCTTTTAAACTCTTCTCACTAACTTCAGAATGTTGAGAATCACTCCTCTGTGACGACTCATTGGCAGGAGGTTTTGCTTTCTTTGCATGGTTACTGAACAGAGCAGATAAACTTTTTGTGTCTTGTGTTCCTGAATTCTGTTTGCCTGCTTGCTTTGTTGTTTCACTGTTTGTCTTGTCACTAGATTTATCTTTTAACGCGTTTTCTGCACCAGTTTTGTTAGCAGGCTCTGTTGGTGGTTCTGTCTTGTTTTTAGAAAAGAATGAAGCAACACCATTAGATCTTTTAGCAACTAAATCAGATTTTTGAGAATCAGTTTTCTGAGGAATAGAAGTTTGCAACTTTTGTGGTTTTCTAGCATCGACTTGAGGTTGTGCAGGTTTCGAGAGATATTTGAACACATGCATTGAAACATTTTCCAATTTGATGCTGAACAAATTTCTATCCCCAAATGTTAAATTCTTACTGGCATCATAATCAAACGAATAAAGGAGAGAATGATTATTTAATTTAGATTTTTGGATGCTGTACACCTGACATGAGGGCTTTGAGAAAAATGTTTTCATCAGGTCATTCTTTCCTGCTGCATCAGACAGACATACTTTTAAGACTTTGGAGTCAGGTCTGTCCGCATCCGAGACCTGGCCAACGATGCAATACGTCACTTGCACATCTGAAGTCATAATATTTATAATTATAATAATTAATGAAAAAATCTTACTAAATTAGTAAAAAAAATTATTTTATTTTAGTTTAGAAAATGACACTATGTGATGGTGATTTATATGGGATGGTGGTTCATATTTTGATTCAAATTGTGATCATTATCTACAAAAATTTTGTATAAAAACAATAAAAATAAAGTATCACTTTTCTTGTTGGAATCAGCATAATATTGTAAATATTTTTTTGCCTGGCACTGAGGAATGCAGAGCGAAATACTTAGAGATTTAAATGATAGAATTTTGTTTTCATCTTCTAAAGATTCTTTTATGAAACTCAAAACGTCCGCTGGCACCATATTTAAATGAAATTATTTGAAAAATTGTTTAGAATACTGCAATTACTGAACTTAATTTGCGCGGTTTGAAACGAATTTTGAAACTAAGTTCACTTTTAGTGAATGTCAGCATGAGTAGATGTGAATTTAAAATTAAAACGTAATAGTGACCATGTACATAAAAGATTAGACTGATGACATAACAAATAACGTTAATATTTTGCTTATAGGGATGTTTTAATTATTTCATCTAAATAAAATAATTAAATTTTAGTTCAATTTAGATAAAAAATAAAACTGTCATTTCAATGAAAATAATATTATCTGCAAATTGAATGAATAAATGTGGAAATAAAAATGAGATAAATGATAAAATGTAATTAAACACAGTTAAATCTTAATGAAAAAACTCAGTATATAAAAGTAAAATTACAAATCAATAATCTATCTATCTATCTATCCTATCATACCAGTTTTATATCATTTCTATACAAATTGTATGATATCGTATCATCTCGTCCCATATATCTATCCTATTTTATTTAATATTATTCATAACAAAAATATCTCTTCCCAGTTAATCAATCAATCGATCGATCTATCTATCTGTCTGTCTGTCTGTCTGTCTGTCTGTCTGTCTGTCTGACTGTCTTTCTTACTGCCTGTTTGTCTGTCTGTCTGTCTGTCTGTCTGTCTGTCCGTCCGTCCGTCCGTCCGTCCATCCATCCATCCATCCATCCATCCATCAATCCATCCATCTATCTATCAGCCAATCAATGCTTCATTTATTCATTGGCGTCAAACAACTAATCAATCAACGTTCAAATTAAATTACAGATCAGTTAGACAACCAACGTGTATGTGTATATGAGTGCATGTATGAATGTGTGTGTATATATGTAGGTATGTATATGTGTGTGTGAGTGTGTGTACGTGTGTCTGTGTTAATAACTTGTAATAATAATAACATGATTTGATGCCACCATTCAATCAGATGTGACAATTTTGCCCGGGGATGTTTATGCAACAATATGTTATTGAATACGTGTATGTATATGTATGCATGTGTGTATGTATGTATGCATGCATGCATGCATGCATGCATGTATGTATGTATGTATGTATGTATGTATGTATGTATGTATGTATGTATGTATGTATGTATGTATGTATGTATGCATGTATGTATGTATGTATGTATGTATGTATGTATGTATGTATGTATGTATGTATGTATGTATGTATGTATGTGTGAATGTATGTGTCTGTATTTTTGTATTGAATTCTCTTTATAATCAACTATTCGGACATGTTTGTTTACATTGCATAGCATTACAATGTGGTGCAGTGCATATATATGGCGATGTATGTATGTGTTCGTTTGTATATGTATCTGCTTATATTTGTATATTCGTTTGTTTGTTTGTTTGTATGTATGTATGTATGTATGTATGTATGTATGTATGTATGTATGTATGTATGTATGTATGTATGTATGTATGTTTCTATGTAAGTTTGTGTATGTTTCTGTGTAAGTTTCTGTTGATTTTGACTAGTGTATCATTTTATAAGGCCTTATTTGTGGATAATTACCAACAAAAAATGTTTGCTAAAATACAAATGAAATGACGTCACTAATCAATTATTTTGAATCACATTAATAATGTTACAATACATCTCAGTGACCATTTGACGGGAAGATATTGGCCAGTTCTAAATTTGGGTATCTAATTAACGATGAAAGGCCATTGTTGTAGTCAGTCGAACCAACATCTAAATGGAGTAGGTGTTTGTGATTGTGTTTATATCGTTGTTCGAAATGTGTGTATGTATGTGTGTGTTTTTATGTGTATGTGTGTGTTTTGAATGTATCTGTGTTTGTATGTGTTTGTGTGTTTGTATGTATGTGTATATATGTGTATGTGTGTGTATGTATGAATGTATGTGTGTTTGTAGGTGTTTGTATGTACGTATGTGTGTGTATGTATGTGTGCGTGTGTGTGTGTGTGTTCATGTGTGCGTGTGTGTGTGTACGTGTGTCAGTAGGAATTGGTGATATACAAGTTCTTATAAATCACTCTACATTGATGAATTCCATTTAGGCTTATTTACTTTATATCGTGTCAAATACGTATTCACCACACCACGATCACCATCGTCATACTGACGTCATCATCAGCATAATCAGCATCGTCGTCATCATCGTCATCAGTAACATCATCTTCAGTAACACCATCATCATCAGCATCTTCAAAAACATCGTCGTCGTCATCATCATCATCATCATCATCATCATCATTCTCATCATCATCATCATCATCATCGTCATCAACATGTCCCCACTATCTCATTCATAATATGATAT